TAACAGATACAATTTATTTAAGTAAATGATCTGTTTTTTTTTTTTTTTTTTAAATAAACAGTATTAATTACATTTACTGGCCCGAGTGTTCTAGAAATTTTCGTACAAAATATACGTTCTCCGACAAGAATTGAACATGTGTCTTATATGAAACCTTCAACTGATCTGACGTGATATACCACTCAGCTACAGAGAAAGCGTCTGGTTAACAAACTTCAGATTACTGCTTATAAAAAATCTTCGACGATCGTACAGTGGCGTAACGTCGCATTCATTAGTGATCCCTCCAAAGACCATGATGTTGAAAGTATATATCATCCAACTTTTTCCGAATCCTCTGTACTGACCTCAGATTGACACCTAAAAACTCTGAAATGTTCGCACTGGAGATTCCGGCCCAAATGCCAAGCAATACATCATGCAATTTTAAAATTTCTGCCTGAATTAATTGTGTCATAGTGATCTTTTTCTCACAGACGATGTCCAAATGACCCTTCTCTACTGTGCAGTCGACAAAATCAAAAACAGAACAAAAATTAAAAATGGCAAGAATTTACCCATCACACCCAGTATGTGTACACACACACACACACACACACACACACACACACGCACACACACACACAAAATAGAATAACCATAAATAGATAACCCTTTATAAAGTCGTCAAAAAACAAATGTTACGGCAGTTTTTATATACACAAAAACCTTTCATAAAGAAATAAAATAAAAAAATAAAAAAATCTTCATAGACACGTAAACCAGACTAGGCGAAAATATCTTCCGTTTTAAATTCAGACACCCCTACCTTACCCTGACTTGACATCTATGGATGTAACTCTATACTGATACAAATTATTAACACCCAACACACCTCCCTATTTAAACAATCGCCCTGGCTGTTACCATGGAAGTTTTGATTTCAATTATGAATATCCTATTAAAACACATAAATTTCAGAAATAAGTTATTCCAAAAAAAAATTTCGCTTGAAGATGGAACAGAGCTTAATTTAATTCAATTTAATTGAAATAATTATATTGAAGTTTTAGGCCCTTGTTTTGAAACATGAGACCTCTTATGTAGCGTGTTGGAATCATATTTTTAAATAAATAATTATATTTATGCTTTACTTTTGTATCGAGCACTATTTTTTAAAAATAACAACAAAAATAATAAAGAACTTTGGATTATGTACCTAACCAGTTCTTTCCTATTTTCTATATATTTTCACACACACACACACACACACATATATATATATATATATATATATATATATATATATGTGTGTTTCTGGGATGCGTGCGTGTGTGTTTTGGGGTTGGGGTCCAAAGACTATATACAATTTAAAATTTTGTCGAATTTAACGATTCGGTGAGTTTTGTAACAAAATAATTAGATTTTTTGAGAATGACGAAGTATTTCGATGAGGAGCATTTCAAACTTGAATATCATTAACGATAATAATGAGGTCGGTTTCTTTTCTTTTTTAATGAAATGCTTTATATACAAGATTGATTAATGTAATTGATACTTTAATTAATACTTTCAAAAGTAATGAACATACCCAGGAATAGTCGATCACTCTTGATGGGGGATAAAGTGGCAACAGGTGACCTTAGTGCTCTTAGGATTCATTTTCTTGTACGAAGTACACCTGTTCTTTAAATTCTCCATTCTTGCAGTTTCTTCTGTAGTCCATATTCTCCCTTATTCGATTGGGGCTTGTCTGGTCCTTTCCCTGCAGTTGGTCGTTGGAGAACATTTCCAACCACCTCATATTAAGGATGTTCCTGAAAAAACGGTTGGTAAATGTCTGATGTTTGTGGTGTTGGTCTTGGTTACCCGTTAGGTTTCTAAGCCGTAAAGTAGGACCGACTTGGCCTGTGTGTGAAACATCAGGATCTTGTTGAAAAATGAGACGGCTTCTGATCCCCAGATTAGCCGCAGAGTGTTAAAAGCGGGTCGGGCTTTGTTGATTCGGCACTTGATTCGTTTTATACGACTTACCAACTCTTTGCAGGTTATTTAAAACCAGGAAATATTTTTAGGTTGTATTAGATTGAATCTTTTTTGTACATAATGATTTAGTAATACAAGTCTTACTAATTAACCCATAGTTGGGGGGAGAAGACTTTTCCCAAATAAATCTTTTTGCGTAAGTGAATATAACGAACCCAATTGGAATTGCAACTCGGCTCTCCGAATAACAATTCCAAACCATTTTCTCTCACACCGTACATTTTCTATTAGTACCTGGTATACAAAAGCGATTACACATCCAGATAACTGACCAGACTCGACGTTGCTTAACTTCGGTGAATGTACGGGAACCAGTGTTTAACCGTGATTTTTCCGTAAGCCATGCTACCCTCACATCCAAGCTTACAGCACCTAGTATTTCCAAGCGGTCACCTATCTAGGTATTGACCAGGCTCGACGTTGCTTAATATCAGTGATCGTATGGGAACTAGTCTTTCAACGTGATATGGCCGTAATCCAGTGGAAATATAATTAATTCTGTCATATCTTCGGTAATGATTTATCTCTTACAAGAGTTAGATTCGGTTTATTAAAAAGGGATAGTTGTGCCATATATGTTCTGCAACGGCCTAATTCCTACTTTCCTGTAAATTACGCGGTCTTGTTGGGAAGTCTAATTCTTCACTCTGTTGTCGCTTTCCTGCAACGTTAAACTATAGTTGGTCTGTATCGATGCCACTGGGAAACCTTCAGATGAGTTACAAGCTTTAATTCAAAGCTGTACAGCCCAGACATGCTGGACTACTTCGACAGAGTTAAATTTCCCTTATTTTCCCAGTGTTCACAAGGAAAGAGGTAAATTTTGCCTCTCTGTGGAACAAACGGACGCGGATATCATTCCCATAACCTTACAATCTTAATCTCCAGTCGTTTTATCCTCATAATCTTCAGGAAGTGAAGATTATGAGGATAATCTATTGTTTCATTCATATCCTACAACCTATGTATGATTATCCTTTCAATAGTAACACTTTATCTTAAGTGGCTCTCGAGGCTTGGTTTGGAGGAATTTAAATATTAAGGAAAATCAATCAATCACAACTACCGAATCAGTATCAATTAACACCCAGGAGCATCTTTCTATCATCACCGTATCATATCGTCTTTCATCAACTCATCATCATCGGTAGCGTCATACTCATTCGTCACCCGTAACCATTCTCCTATAATCAACACAGGACGTCATCGTTCACCATCAGCATCATTATCATCCAACACCGAAATTGAACCTCCTGTAATCACCCCCTAAAGATCATCCATTACGATTACCATCCTCTTATACAAAACCATACCATCATTATCATCCAAAATCCAGGCCGTCGTTCTGTAATCATCCCAAAATATCATCCTATGCGATTACCATCCTCTTATCCGTAGCCACACCATAATTTTCGTGCAACACCTAGATCCAACTTTCTGTAATCACCCCAAAATATCATCCAATGCGATTACAATCCTTTTATTCTAAGCCATACCATCATTATCATCCAACACCTAGGTTCACCTTTCTGTATTCCCCCTAAGATATCATCAATTGCGATCACCATCCTCTTATCCGTAGACATACCATCGTCATCATTCGTGTAACACCTAGGTTCACCTTTCTGTAATCACCCCAAGATATCATCCAAAGCGATCACCATCTTCTAATCATCAAGCATACCATCATTATCATCTAACATCTAGGTTCACCTTTCGGTAATCACCCCAAAATATAATCCAATGCGATCAATATTCTCTAATTCTAAGCCATAACTTCATTATTGTGTATCACTTAGGTTCACCTTTCTTTAATCACTCCATGATATCATCCAATGCGAACACCATCCTGTTATCCGGAGCCATACCATAATTATCGTGCAACCCCTAGGTTTACCTATCTGTAATCACCCCAAGATATTATCCAATGCGATCACTACTCTCTGATCCTAAGTCATACCATCATTATTGTGCAATAATTAGGTTCAAGTTTTTTTAATCACCCCAAAATATCATCCAATGCGATCACCATCCTATTATCCTTAGCCATACTATCATTATCGTGCAATGACTATGATCACCTTTCTGTAATCGCCATAAGATATCATCCAATATAATTTATTTCACCAAAAAAGGATTTTGTGAAATAAATTATTGTAATGGTACCTTAAAGTGGTCTGTTTTTCATTAAATATTAGCTCTGTATTCACATTGAGCTCTCAGGATTTCATCCTCCTTGGAATTACCCATTCGGTTTACCAAGTTCTTCGTAACTTAACTTATATATATATATATATATATATATATATATATATATATATATATATGTGTGTGTGTGTGTGTGTGTGTGTGTGTGTGTGTCTATATTTCTGAAATGAGTTATTGTGTAGACTATTTACATTATTCGGACTATTGTTCTCATCTTTGTCACTGTATTTATTACAACGTCTCGGCCGTTGTACGCTCCGGCCTTCTTCACGTAGTTGTAATGTCGAATAATGTAAATATATATATATATATATATATATATATATATATATATATATATATATATATATATCGATGACGAGAAGAGAGGGCTCAGTAAAATTAAGAGGTTTTCAACTTTTACGGACACAGATGTGTCTCCCAAGGCCTGCAGATGTCTTGCAAATATTTAGACAGATGGAACATGTGGTTGAGGATCAATTGTTACATGTTTCCGCGAGTGGACTGTAGTCAAAAGACATTCGGTTTACGTGACAGTCAAAATGGAAAACATAAGTATGGAAAAGAAAATGTTAAAATGGAAGTGGCGTTTGCATTTAGCAATTTCTAGAGTTAACGGATGGAGCTTAAAATCATGTCATCAGGGAACCCGGAAAAAAATTGAAAAGACAGAGAGAAATTAGTGAGAAAGTGACTGAAGTCGATATGCCAGGTTAGTATCGCTTATATCACAGATCCTTCTTTAGATGAAATTTGTCACGTTCACAAAGCTAGATATAAATTTAATAAACATTAAATACTAAACTTAGATTGGATTAAGTCCCTCTTCTACTAAGAATGGTAGAAATCTGATTTGCACTTGAGTAAAAAAAAAGAAATACATTGGTGAGAGTTGTAGTAGATTAAAAAATGCAAACCAACGACCAGTTTAAACTTAACTAAAAAGAAAATTTTACACACATGTCTGGTTTATAGTAGTACATAGAAAATCCTTGGTATAATTCAGCTGCCCTGGATAAAACGCTATCGACAAAAAAGATGGTTTTAACCCCTTCACCGACAATTATTTTGGAGAAAAACGTTTAATTTTCAGAAGAAGTACTTAAGTGATGGCTAACACCTGTCTGAGCTGACAGTTGAACTCGTTTCAAGCCCAGAAGGGCATAAAAAGAAGAAAGTCGCGCGTCTTATAGGCCTGTAGCTGGTTTTTGAACGTTATCTTTTGTGCATGTTTATTCATCCTTCTCTGAATTAATTTTTTAAGCGTTTCACCCCAAGCAAGGTGAAAAGCCACTAGGACGCAAGGGGTTACAGAAAATTTGGAGCAAGATCAGATAGGAGTGATAGAAGAAAGGATGAGGAGAAGGATAGTGGATAGATCAAGGCAACTGGAGATGTCGATTGACATTACATTTGAATAGCTGGGAGATTATAGCTATCAAGGAAACTGGAATAGAGAAGGGAGTTCCACAGGCGAGAGGTGCGAGACATGGAGCTATTGGAGTAGAAGAGACGGCTACATTTAGGAGTTTCGACAGTGAAAGAGTGAGAGCGAGATGCCAGCCTCGTAGGGCGCTGGAAATCATGACGTCTGGGAACCAGCGAATGCAGCTCATCGGAACAATTGCCATGAAAGTATTTGTAAAACAGACAGAGAGAGGCGACGAGAAAGTGACTGCAGACGAGATGCCAAAGCATATCCGCCTCTGGAGCCTATCAAGAACCCCGGGGCTCTAGACCATATATGGCAGCAATACTCCATGCAAGGGCGAATTGTTGATTTGTAGATCTGGAGGATCGATTCCGGGGAGAAAGATTTCCTGGTACGGCACAGGGAGCCAACTTTCCTTGTGGTGGACGAAGCAATTGACTCAATGTATTTGTTCCATCTCAGGTCAGCCGTCAACGTGAGACCGAGCAGCTGCAGGGAGTTGCTCTCGAAAAGTTGAGCGTCAGAATGCCTAATCTCAGAGATATAGACAGCGATTGAGGTTGCATTTAAATTTTTGAAGATTTTATTTATCTGGGAAGCAAGTAAAAGAAAATGAATTCTACAGGTGGGAAGTGCGAGAAAAGAAGAATTTAGAGTAGAAGTGGCGGTTGCACTTAGCTATTTTAAGAATTAACCTATCCGACCGAATTTAAAATCATGTTGTCGGGACACCAGGGAAAAAGAGCAGTTGTCTATTTTTAGAAAAGACAGAGAGAGGTCAGTCAGAAAGTGACTGAAGTCGAGATGCCAGGTCAGTGTCGATTATAATAATCAGATATAATCTTTAGATTAATTTTTTCACATTCAAAAAGCTAGATATAAATCTGATAAACATTAAATACTAAACTTAGATCGGATTTAAACTACATTAAAAATTGTAGACATAAGTCCCGCTTCTACTAGCATAAGCATGGTAGAAATCCGATTTCCCCTAGAGTGATATATATATATATATATATATATATATATATATATATAGGTCCGAGTTGTACTAGATGTAAGCAAACGGACAGTTTAAACTCAAGTAAAAAGAAAATTTTACTCACATGTCTGTTTTATGGAAGCTGCGCTGAATAAAACGCTATCGACAAAAAAACATGGTTTTAGCCCGTTTACTGACAATTTTGGGGGGAAAAGCGTTTAATTTTCAGAATAATTTTTTTATTTGCTTTTAATATAGTAACTAAGGAACTGAGGCACCTTGAAATACCCGAGCGGTGGCTAAAATCTCTACCACACGTATGAGCTGACAACTGGACTTGTTTTACGCTCAGACGGGCATAAAAAGAATCAAGATGGGCGTTTTACATGTCCTCTTATCTTAAGCCATACCATCATTATCGTGTAACTACTAGGTTCACCTTTCTGTAATCACAACAAGATATCATCCAATACGATCACCATCCTTTAACCATCAACCATACCATCATTGTCATCCAACACCTAGGTAATCACCCTAAGATATCATCCAATGTGATCACCATCCTATTATCCTTAGCCATATCATCATTATCGTGCAACCTCTAGGGTCATCTTCTGTAATCATCCTAAGATATATTATCAAATATGATTACCATCCTCTTATCTTAAGCCATATCATTATTATCGTGTAACACCTATGTTCACCTTTCTGTAATCACCAAAAGATATCATCGAATGCGATCACCAACCTCTTATCCTAATCCATACCTTCATTATTGTGTAATACTTAGGTTCAACTTTCTGTAAACACCCCGAGATATTATCTAATGCGATCACCATCCTATTAACCTTAG